TCTAGACGCGGCGCGGTTGACAAAGGAAGCCTTTGTCGACCGCTCCGGTATGCCTCGTGGTTTACCGGAGCAGTCGACAAAGGTGATTTGTTGGTGGATCAGCTGATAGTCGGCACAGCGCGGCGGCCATGTTTATTTAAATGAAGCGGGGATTATTTAAATCCCGGCTTCTTTGACTATGCCAAATAAACTAATTTACATGGCTCTGTCGAGGGAGCCATGTAGTCTAGACACACCCCTAGAGTTCGCTCTGGCCATGGCTGCACTGGGAAATTATTTCAGAATAACGACCCTGGAAATAATAATGCTCAAAATAACAGAACCCAAATAGCGTGTCCACACTACAGCCAAGAACCGAGGGGACCCCGCTTAATTTTGAGACCCATCAGTCAGCCAGTTTTCAATCCATTTAACGGGTGCCGAGTTGATTTGACATCCTTCTGGTTTTATAGTCAAATCAATTAAATGGGTAAGGAAAGGCATTCAGCGTGGAACAGCAACACTGGGCCAACCTCACCGCCGGTGCAAGGGAGGGATGGGGAGGGAGGCGGTGGTACAAGGGAGGGGAGGGTGCGGACAGAGCAAGCCCTGAACACCAGCCACCCGCAGGATGCAGCTGCCAGAAGAGACGTTAGCTTGAGCCATAAGAGCCGTTCAACCCATTGCAGCCTGGGGACCATGGTGTCCCCTGTCCTACTGCAGACCCCATCACACAGGGAGGGTGCGGGAAAGCAGGCACAGCCAGGAGCACAGCGTGTCCCTCCTCTCAGCCACTGCACCGGGGGTTCCCCCACCCCCTCCGGCGTGGCGGAAAACAGTTCCTGATGGGAGCTCTGAGGAAGGGCCGCGTCGCTGGCATCTTTCCTCTGCCGGGGAAGTGTGAGTTACACCACAGCTGGCACCCAGGAGGCTCTGGCCCTGCCTGGCCATTTCGAACCACGGCCACTGTCCTCGGGGGCACGATCTGGACAGCACTCCAGCCTCTGTCCTAGATGGGCCAGTGGCCCAGGCCGAGAGAAGGAGCCAGTCTCAGGCACGCCACACAAATACCTCCCTTTCTTTTTAAACAAGGGCGCCCCGGGACCCCAGCTCTGTCCCCTCACAGACTGGACCAGGGAGAGCTTGTGCGTCCAGAACCACAAGCCAACAAGGGCGCGACACAGCCACAGCCTGCAAGCCAGCCAGGCCACCAGCTGCTGCCTCGCATCACACCCTGGACATCACAGGGCACCGTCACAGCAGCCCCGGACCGCTGCAGCCTCTCAGCGCAGATGGGACTGAAACTAGCCAGGCTTGCAAATACCTAGCGCCTTGCCGCAGCCCAAAATGTGCAACACGAACCTCCCTTCGCCAGGGTCCCAAGCAGGGCCGGTTACATTCATCGCCTACCCCCCAAGCTGTATCAGTGCCCGGCCCCCCCACCTTCCCCCCTCTGCCATTCTACACGGCTCACTCCTTCCGTCCCCCTTCACTGGGGCGGGCCCACAACCAGCCTCTCAAAACCAGCAGCAAGGGTCCAAACAATCCCAGCGTGGGAGATGCAATAAGCGTCAGGCCCCTTCCCTCCCACATTAACAGGACCTGGCAGCTGAAGTCAAGGGCAAAGCTCCGCACTCACCTGCTAGCGCCCCCCCCCCCCCCGCCTAGCGGCTGGCCCCAGCCAGCTCCCAGCCTCTGTGAACTTGGCTGGGAATGTCTGGAGAGAAATCGCCCGGCCTTAAAGGCACAGGACCCCTTTCCCTCGCAGACGGAGAAGAGCTGCCTGCCCGCCGGTGCCCAGATCTCTTAGGACACAGGCACCGAGCGGCCCCTCCGGAGCCGGCAGGGGGGACAGAGCTGGATGGTTCTGAGCGTAACGACTCGGTCCCGCTCGGTCGGGGCAGGGGAGCAGAGAATCCGACACTCTGCCACAGGCTCAGGAGCTCTGGCAGGGGAATGCCAGGGAGGGACACACCGGGCTCCGGCATCACCCAGAGCCTAGGCCAGAGGGGTTCAATATGTGGCCCGTGGCCCAAAACGGGGCTGCCAAAGCCGTGTGGGTGGCACGGGGGCGGGCCAGGACTCGGGGCGTCAGCCCTCCTGCGGAGCACACCTCCTGAAGGGCGGGTCTCAGCGGCCTGTCCCCGCTCCACAAGGGGAGGTCGGTGGCTTCGGCACTGTAAACGTCTGGTCGATGGGCCGCGGCCGTGGAAACTAAGGCAGGGGGCTCACACTCAATTTACCTCAGGGCCAGGCCAGTCCTCGAAGCCTCCTAGCGGGCCAATGGGCACCACGCGCTCCCGCCTGCGTGTCTCTGGGCCCTGCCAGCCAGTGCACATGCTCCCTCCTCCCCTGTGTGGGCCCCAGCCGCCGCTCTCCGTGCCACTGCCCTGGGACAGGTGTGCGCAGCGGTGAAGAGGAGCGACCGGGCTGGCCTGGGAGGTGGCGGCAGAGCAGAGCAGAGGGGATGGGGCCCAGGACAAGGGGGAGATTGCACCAAGCTCAGGGCACCCCTAGGACGGCCGTACCGGGAACTGCTGACAATGGCCTGGCTGTGCCTCTGCCTAGGGGCATGTCACCGTATCCAGGAGCCGCCCGAAGTAAGTGCTGCCCAGAGCCCCGATCTCCTCCCTCCCATGCCCGAACCCCGTATCCTAACTCCTTCCCAGCCTGCGCCTGCACCCCCTGCATTCCGAACCAGTCAGCCCTACCCCTGTGCAGCAGCCCCTCTGATTTTTCCCACCCCCAGAGCAGAATGAATTTTGTGATGTGCACATCGGACTGGTGCACACAACAAAACTCGTGTGTGTGGGAGGGGGCTCAGGCCTGGGGCAGAGTTGGGGTGCTGGGGATGAAGGGTTTAGGGCTTGGACAGAGGGTTGGGGAAAAGGGCTCTGGGGATGAAGGATTTGAGGTCCAGGAGGGGACTCCAGACTTGGGGGTAGGGGCCAAAGGACTGGGAATAAGAGCGGGCCGGGGCAGAGGGTTAAGGTGGAGGGGTGAGGGCTCTCGGGAGGGGCTGAGGGGTTGGGATGTAAGAGGGGGCTTTAGGTTTGGGGAGGAGCTCAAGGATGGGGGTTGGGGTCAGTGTTCCCTCTAATTTTTTCCATCCATGTGGGGGATACATTTTGTTATGTGCGCTGAGGCATGTGTGGCTGCGCACCCTCAGCAGAAACCCCGGCTGCCGGCTGTGGGCGCTCTGCTAACCACCTGAGCAGCACCAGAATCTCTCCCGGGTGGCCGCCCAAGCACTCGGCTTACGGGGAACACTGGTTGGGGTATAGTAGGGGGTGCAGGCTCTGGACTGGGGATGTGGGCTTTGGAGTGGGACTGGGGACGAAGGAATTGGGGTGCAGGGAGTGGCTCCGGTTTGGGGGCCTCAGGATGGGGCAGGGGCTCGGGCTTACCTGGGCAGCTGCACTGAGGCAAGCTGCCGGGTGCCTTCTTGTCCTGGGGCACCACGTTGTGCCCTGGAAGTGGCCAGCAGATCCAGCTCCTGGTGGTGGGAGAGGGGGCATGAGGCTCTGTGGCATGTGGAGCCCTATGTCCCCCCTGCCTAGAGAGCCAGGCCTGCTGCACTGGCTGCTCCCTCACCGACCCGAGCATGGAGCTGCCCCGACCACGGGGATGTATCTCCCCTGCTGCAGCCCTGAGCCCTCAAGCTCAGATCCCCCTCCTGTACCCCAAGTCCCTCATATCTAGCTCTACCTCCGAGCCCAGAGTCCCAGCTGGAGCCTCCCTCTCCCGCCCCAGTGCCTCCTCCCACACTCTGAACCCCTCCCACCGTGGAGCCATGCAGCAGCAGCAGCCGCCCTGCTCCCCCTCACTCGCCTGCTCTGGAACCAGAGCGACCCAGCAGCCTGCTCTGCTCTGCCCCAGCCCACGACCCCCTCCCAGCTCGCTGCTCTTGGCTTCACAGCGGCAGCAGGAAACAGACGCCCCGGCCCCAGGCGCTGGTCTGCACTGGCTGCTCTGCAGTCTAAAGAGGCTGTAACATCCAGGGCAGGTTCTTTCCCCCACACTTCCTGTGAAGTGTCTGGCTCTGCTGCAGGACCCCCGGGCCTTGTACATACGGCCAGGCAGCGCCTGCCAGCTGTGATACCAGACTGCAGGCGAACGATGGGCAGTGGAGAGAGCTTTCCTCCGCAGACACGGTACCAGCTCTGTGCCTCTGCACCCCCCAGGATAAATACTGGCCGTCAAGTCGTCGACAGCCTGTCACTGAACCACAGCCGGGCCCTTGGCTGGAGGGCAGGAGTGCCATAAGGAGCAAGGCCCAGAGAGGTCAGGTTCACGGATGGTTATGTGGAAAAGGGCCAAAAGGTTAGCAGGCCCTAAATCTACTTCCTAAAAATAGTCACGGGAGGTCTGGAAAATATGAGCAAAGTGATAAGTCAAAGGCAAGTTGCAGCTAAGTTAGGACAGAACCCGTGAGGTCCCCACTGGTTTTTCACACGGTACTTGGGAGATGTTGAATGTTGAGTAGACAAGGAGACAGGAGGAAATATGTAATTATGGCTATGGAGATACAGATCTGGGGACAGGTGCAGTTAATGTTAATTAAAGGGCATTATTGCACCTGATTATAAAAAGGGAGGCCGGCTAATTTGACAGTAGGAGCAGCCACATGGAGCCCTTAGGATGGTTCATACCCACCCTCCTCATTTAGGGGCCAATCACCTCTTAATGGTTCATTCAGTCTCAGACTAGGAGTCTCAACAGTAGGTAGGTTACAGTGCAAGGCTGGTTTGCTTCCCTCTGTCCCAGGAAATAAAGACTTGAAATGTCACTCACCGTGTTAGTCACAGTCCCCCACTAAAGGAAATGATCCGGGACCACCCTGCAGGCTGGAATGGTAAAGAGCCCAGCTTGGTTTTGTTCCTTATTTTAACCAGTTCACTGGGGGGACACACGTCTAAGGATACAGGAGCTACAGGAAAGTGCAACCATGCAGAGCTGAGGGGCGGAGGGTAACAATCCTAACCCCACCCCCCTTCTGGAGAGACTAGCCCGGACAGACAGACACCCAGGCAGGAGGATGGAAAGCCGTGGTTTTAATTACAAGCACAGAGCATTCAACCTGTCTCTGGAGCAGGCAGGTTACTTCGCTCACCCGCCTCGGTCTCTTGGCTCAGCTGCTGATGGGAACAGCAGGCCCTCCTGGAGAGCACCTGGAATCAACTGTACCGTGCCCCATCCTGCACAATCACCGCCCACTGCAGGGTCATTTGGCTACTGAAGGGTTAAGCACTCACTGGAGGCGCTCAGAAGGCTGTCCTCCCTGAGGAACGGCCCCCCACTGCCTGGGAAAAGCTTGCTATACTCCCTCAGTGGGGAAGGAGAAGGGGGAGGGGGAGGAGGGTTAGGGTAAGAGTCATCTTCATATTTATCACTGTCCAGTGTCAGAGCAGCTGGGCTTGACTGCAGCCAGCTGCTCCTGCCCTGAAGATAGCCCAGTGCCTGTGCTGCTTCCTTTCTGCTTGCTAGCTGCTTGCAGTACATTCCATACCGGGATTCTGGCCTGGGCAGCAAGGGCCCGTTCTCTCCAACACCTGAGCAGAGAGAGAGAGGAGACACACCATGGCTAGTGTTTCTCTGTGGTTTGTTGCTCCCTGGTGGGCTCTGGCAAACAGGGACCAGGAATACGTCTCGGAGGGCTAAGGGCCAAACAAAACACCACGGGACAAATCTCGCAGTCCCTTCTTCAGGCAAACTGCTCAGTGAAATCAAGAAGAGTTTTGCTTGAGTCAAGCTTGGGGGGCTGGGCTGTATGTGATAGAACTGCCTGCTCTCCTATGGGGATGTCTCCCAGTTCCAGCGCCATGTTCCTCTGCCACTCAAATACCCAATGGCCATTGGATAGAATAAAGGTTACATTGTTATTCCACCCGGGCTGGGGCCCTTTCCAAATCCGTTTAAATGTTTGCATTTCGAGTATTTTACTTCTGAAATGGCCCGTTTCCGTTTTGAACGGTGTGATAACCAATATGGGGATTCTGGGTATCGGGTAGGCGACAACTGAGTCATCCCCTGTGGTGTTCCCCTTAGATTTTCAAGAACATGCCTTAGCCCCTCTTCGTGCAGAGAGGGGCCCCCCATCAGTGTCCCCTTTTGTCCGTGGTCTCTCAAAGAGGTTTTGCTGCATTCTCTGATGCGCGTTTGCAAACAATTGGTTCGTTGTTAAGAGTTTAGCATGTTCACTTCCCTCTGGGGCATCTAGCCTGGCTATTTCCAGAGGCAGACACAGACTAGACGGCTGGTATCCGCCAACAGTCTGAGATGCTGCAGTAATTCTTACAAACCTAACTACCACGCTCTTCTCATGAAGCCAATGGGCATGCAGCTAATCAGCAATGGGACAGGGCCTTTGGCACAGGAATTCAAGGTACCTTCCCTCCCTCCCCACCCACCCGGTTCTGACATGGTCAATGCACCACAACGCTGCAAAGAATTAGCGACTGCGCTGTCATCACAGTACAGTCGAGACACTCACCTTCAAGAACCAGGGTGCTCTTGTACGGCACGTACATCCCCGAAGACCTTCTCTTCCCAAGTCCCACTTGTTGCTTCCTCGGGCCTTCCCATCCCTGCAACTCCGGCTCTGCAGACGGAAGGGGCTGACGGGCAACGCAGACGGGTTAGGTGGAGACCAAACAGAGGGGATTCTCTAGACTGCTCATCATTTTGTTTCAGCAGCTGAACACACTTGCGCTCTTCACTCACTCACCGGCACCCTGTGGCCCCTGGCTCGGGGAAACAGGATCTCAATCCAAAGGAGAATGAGTTTTCATTTCCCCACACAACACTCTTCATTTCCCTTTTGTTCCTGTACACAGAGCACCCCGGCAGCGAGGCAGCTCTCCTAGGGTAGCTTAAACTAACCCTACTCTAAGATCAAGAAGGCTTTTGCGTGTAAGTTCTTTACTGGGGTGAGCGTGTCAAGGCTGATCCATGCCCCAATCTACCGAAGCAAAGCCCCTGTGCTGACCCTTTCACAATCACTGCATGTGCAGGGGGGAGGGGGGTTTCCGATGACAGCTTAATGTCATCATTTGCATCTCTACAACAGTGTAATTACTGGGCATGCAAGTGATCAAGACAGACAAATGAAACCTTGGCCGCCCACTGGCAGGTGCTTGCAGTGTGCAGCATGACGTGATTATCAGGCCACAGAGAGCACGGACTATGCACACGCCAGAGGACTTAGCTGTGATCCTCCTCAAGTCTGTGCCTACGCTGATGAATGCTGGAGCCACAGAGCTGTTCTCAGCGGTCTGTTGTACCAGTGCCCCTTGAGAACTCTTCTGTGCTGGTTAAGGGAAAGACAAACTGCTGCCCCTGCACTGGCATCTGTTGCAGAGATAAATAAGAGGCTTTGCTTTTTGCTCGGCAGTTCACCCTTGTGGTCCTACCAGTTATCCCAGCAGAGAGGATGTAAGCTAAGGAGGGGACGGGGACCTCAAAGAACGCAGATTGTGAACAGGCTCAGAGGACTCGAGTCCAGACAGTAGGGAAGGGGGCTTTTGTTGATGGCTGAACTGTTGGTTTTTTCCCCTGCAGCTGCTGTGCATGGCAGGAACTGGACACACAGGCACGGGATGCTGAGCTGATAACCGCTGTTAAGCAGTGCTAGAGGCCAGGCTTTCTGGCCCCTTGCTAGACATTGCTTTGCCTACACTTACTGGTTTTTGTGACAGTTGCCTTTTGCTTGACGTGGCTTTCTCTGTGCCATCTAGTGTGCAGGACTCCAGCGACTGGGTGGTGAGTACAAGCAGCCTTGCTGCTGCATAGCCAGGTTGCAGTTCTGATTTGCTCTCGGGGCCCCTCGCACCTAAGGAGCCTATAGTGGGGCACAGAGCAGACAACTTAGCATTTCTAAACACTCGTCTGAACCGCAGGCCTGTCCGAGCTCACAGCCTGGAAAAGCTGGAGGCCAGCGTGCAGGCCTGCATGCAGCACAGACTGAAAGGTGGCCGGTGAGTTCAGGGCCAGCAGATGCCCTTGCACTGCCCTGCAGCAGGTGCATCTGGAGAGCACAAGAGCATCTGCAGCCCTGTACAGGAGCCCAGCACCACAGCACTCTCCATGCTCTCCTGCCTGCTACCCCTCTGTGCACTAGCCAGCCCTAAGGGGAGGGAGCGGAGGTGCACCCATGGTTCCATGCCACCCAGGGCAGTGCTGCCTGGACACATAAGCAAGTACACAAGGGACTGCCCTCATGGTGCTCGCACAGGGGCATGCCAGTCTACACTCAACATTTTTTGTCCTGTGCACAAAGGTTCTGCTAATCCGCCGGACAACATTTGAAACTCCGCTGACAAAGCTCACAGCTTGCAGGGAATGCTGGCTTCAAACTCTCTCACTCTCATTCTCTTTTTCTACACAAAAAACCTCTAGTTAGTTTCTATAGAATTGGCTGTCAGTGTCGTCTTTGGTGTAAGGTCTGGAGAACTGATTTGGGCTAAGCGACAGGTCTTTTGGGACAGGGAGAAACCTGATGTGGGGCGATTTTAGGCTTACGTCTGACCTAAGACTGGCACTCACAGTTGCAAGCTGCTCCAGACAGCGTGACAAACACTAACCAAGAAACCCAAAGACCATGCTTGCGTGTGATATTCCTAGGCGTGTGAAGATGTGAATGGCTGTGCACTGCACTGGTGATACAAGGCACCTGGATTGCCAATGCGCTCTGGGTGCTGTAGTACCGGTGAATCTGCCCTTGAAAGTTAAATTTTAACCCAATGATTTAAGGTTAATGCTACAGGCCTTTCAATCATTAAATATATTGTATGGCAGTTTTCTCCTCGGGTTTCTTGCTGGGTGCTCATGTAGGAAATCTTTAATAATTAAAAGAAAGAAAATTCCAAGAGAAGAATACTGATAGGTAACTAGGGGAAAAAAACATTACAGACAGTGCATAATACTTAATGATCTCCCAAGCCAAGCAAGTCAGAGGTAAGTTTTCTGGCCAGAAGGCTGAGTCAAGGAGCACCCTGAGTCCTCGAGAAAGAGGGAGACCCAGGGCAAGGAACTGGCAGAAGGGCACAGCAGACCGGTGGAGGACTACTCTCCAAGCTGCAAGGAGAAGGCCCCCCGATGATGACTGAACCCCGTTACAGTGGGGGAATGCACCATGGAGGGGTCTAAAGACAAGCTTTAGTTTTAACACCCAGTCCAGTTTCACCTTCACATGGTTTCCTCAGATAAGGTCTGTTACTGATTCTTTCCAGGCCTTGTTCGTTCAAACTCAGGACTGGAATCTAAAGAGAAAGCACAAATATCACGGGTGAACCCGGTACCTTCGATCAGCATTTTTAATAAATAACCTGTTTATTCCCTCCTCCTACCCAAAGCATGCTCTTCTCCATCCCACGCCCGCCCCTTTCAGCCTTCACAGCCAGGCAGTGCTGCATTATTTGACTAGAAAGCGTGCATGTTAGAGGGCAAGGAAGCTGAAGAGTGCATGGAGAGGGATGCTTATAGCTTTAAAACTCTGACAGCTGGGGCAACATCCACCTCTCTCCAGCGGTGCAGGTGCACAGTGTAGTGGGGATGCTGGGAAAAAAGATGGAAGGCCTGGTCTACACTAGGAAATCAGCTTGTTATAATGGTGTTGCTCAGGCAGATGACAAATGCACAGCCCGCTGCTCTGGACCTACCTACCGCCTCTTGGGAGGTGCAGTACCAACACCGAGGGGAGATCCCCTCCCTGGAGCAGATAGCGCTGTCACTGACGTGCTGCAGCGGTACAACAGCAGTGGTTTAGGCTCTCCATGCTGGGGAAGCTGGGAAGGGTTCTACATAGCAGGTGGCCAGGGAAGGCTTTCCCATTAGAGTACAGCCGGGGACACTCATTGTCCAAGCCATGTTCTGGTTAGCTGATGGGTGGCAGCACAGCTGTGATCCATCTCCTTGCGGTGCCCAGGTAGGACCTTGGCCTTGCAAGAGGGGGAACCCCCTTGCCTCTTCCCTGGGCAGGGACACTGGATTGCAAAAGGAGGCTGTTGGGAACCGCCTTATGTCTCCAAATCCAGGTTTCCTTCCTTCCGTTTCAACTCCCAATAGTGCCTCCCCAGAGCTCTTTACAGTCTGCAGTCGGTACAGTATCAAGTACAATAGCAATTGCCCCTTAGCTCACCAAGCTGAGGACTCAATGAAACGATGGGAAGGCTCCTTAGCCACTATCAATGCCATAGCAGTCCAGTTTTGCCCTCATGGCCATATATACTGGAGGAAAACTCTTTTAAATGATTAATAATAATTAATGAGCATTACCATGGTGCATAGGCCCCCCCAGCCATGGACCCTAGTGTGCTAGATGCTGCAGGAACACAGAAGACAGACAGTCACGGAGAGGCCCAGTGACAGGGCATGGGGAGGACAAGGGATTAAAAGGGGATGCTGAATGACAGCAGGTGATGGTCAGAAAGGGGGAACCCCTCCCCAGAGAGATCAGGCAGAGCTGTGTGTGCTGAACACAACTCAAGGGAGCAGCCCTTGAATCAGGGCTGCAGGTCAAATGTTGAGCATAGGAAACATGCACCTCCGAGGTCAGCAGGGTGACCAGCATGGGAATGGAAGTGGCTGAGGATGAGGGAGCTTGCGAGACTGAGGAGAGCCCAGAGTGGAAGTCAGACAGGGAGGCTGGGGAGGAGCTGAGGGTGGGCGAGGAGAGGACAATGTGGAATGTCACCTGCAGCGCTGTTCAAGAGGAGAAAGGGTGGGAAGTGTGAAGGGCTGGAAGCAGCAGGCCCAGGGGAGACTCCCAGCATCCTACCAGTCTGATCCACAGCAGGGAGCGGGGCAGACACAGACACCTCTGCAAGAGGCCATGTCAGACGAGCCAGGAGCGTAGCTGGAGGGAGCGAGCTGGGGAAGAGGCCTGTTAGAGATGGAGTGGGCATTCCAGAGACATTTCTGATCTTTCATTTTGCTAGCGAAGAAGGGCTCAGCCTGAAAACCAGCCACTGCAGCTTTCCGTTCTACACTGGCCTCAGGGCCAGCTATGTTCTCATTGGGCCGGCTAGTTTGTATAAACCGGATACCTTCTGCACAAGCAAAGGATGCTTTGCTGTAGCTTCAGACACATCCACTCTTCGGTTTCCCAGCTGCAGGGTATCCCGATTTTGCAACTCCACTATTGTAGCAGTCTGTAGCTGTCGGGGGGAAGAATGCCTCTTTTTTATCTGACTATCCTTTATTGTCCCTTCTTTGGCTACAGAACTAAAGACAAAACAAAGCAAACTGGTCAATATCGCCTCATTTCCAGGAGCAGAGCATGAAAGATGGGAAAGTTTGCAGCTACTAAATTTAAAGCTACAGAGTCATAAAGGAAATGTCTGTTTGAGGAGGTTGGGGACTGACCAACTCTTCCCTGCCCCAGGCTTGTTCTGAGCTGGCCACATTCAAGAGAAAACAAAGATCTTGGAGCTAGAACAGAAAAGCCAGCACGTGAGGCTTTGTCTACACAGGCAAATCTACAACACTGGCAGTTACAGCGCTGCTCAGTGCAGCAGTGAAACCTCTGTTGTGTGACCACGCTGTCAGCTGTCAGCGCAGTAGCATGACCACACTTGCAGTGGCATTTGGAGAGATGCACTCTGGGTAGCTATCCCACAGTGCACCTCTTTCTCTTCTGTCATTGAGGTTTGTGGGTAAGTGGATGAGGGGTGTCATGGGGCATCCTGGGTCCTGTCCCAGTGCCTCATGGTGCATCGCTTTGCATTCAGCAACCCCTGTGCTGCAGCCTGCGTTTGGCACTATCTTTCAGCAGTTGCAGGAATGGATCCTGAACTGTTATGCTGATAGGTCCCACTGCCATGTCAGGAATGGTAGTCGAGTTATTCCTTAAGCGGCAAGATGACAAAGAGGTGTCAGACACTGATCTTGCCATGCATACTACTATGACACAAGACTGCTTGTGGCATTAAGGGAGGTGCTGACCACAGTTCAATGCTGCTTTTGGGCTCAGGGAAGAAGCACTGAGAGGTGAGATCACATCATCACACAAGTCTGGGATGGCGTTCGGCGCAGAGGTGGGTTTGCCCCCATGAATTTCATCCAGCTGTTTGTAGAACCGGCAGGGCGTGAGTACGGCACAGGAATGATGGATTTCCTACTGTGCCTTGTGGTAGGCGTTCCACAGCTCCTTCACTTTGACCCTGCACTGCAGTGCATCCTCCGAGGTCATGCATCTCACATATGCCTGCATGTATCATAATTCCTAAGGCTGGCATGAGGCTGGGACCAGACTGCCTCCCCTCCTCGCAGCTGAGGTCCTGCACCGGAGCTCCAAATTGGAGCTCTCCTGATGTGGGGAGCAGGCACAGTCACCTGGAAAGATGTGCTGAGAGCAAGGCACATGTCCCCGAGCCAAAGGAAGAGGACTTTCAAAATCCCAAAGGAATGCAAAGGGTGGGTCTGAGGGCAGGAAGGCAGTAGAGTTCAAACCAGTGACCAGAGAGGTTAGAACAGGCATTGTGGAACGGGTACCCAGCGCTGTATCCGGCGTGTCCCATTAAAGTGGTTTCCCTGGTGCGCAGGAACTGTGGAGCTAGTGCGCACTAAGTGCCTTGCCAGTGTGGACACCTCAGGAGTTACAGCCCTGGGAGCTGATTCACTGTGCTGAACCTTGCCAGTGTAGACACGGCCTAAGGCTGCCACTGTTCCCACCTGAACCACGCCTTTGTCTCCAATCTCCCTGCATGGCAGCTCACTGCACTAGAGGGGCTGGCTGGGGGCTGGCTGTGTGGTCCAGTTGGAAAGACTTACCTGTCACTTCCGTGGCTTGGGACTGATTTTATTTTTTTGGTCACCCAGTTAATTTTCTGGCTCTTGTTTATACGTAGATGATAGGGCTGGCCTCCCGAAGGGACCTTCTTGGATTTCTTTCTCTTCTGGGGAATAGCATAGTTACAATGAAATACAGACCCAGGAGGAAAATGTTCTCTCAAGCCCTTTCTCCTGGCATGTTTAATATCCCTTCCTGCCCTCTCTCCCGCAGAATATTTCCCAGTGGGAGAAGTGAGGAAGCCTTTGATCCTAAACCAATGGAAGAGGCATTCACCCCCATCAGGAAAGAGGATGGTATAACACACCTATGATCCAACCTCGAACCTGACATCGACCCCACCAAGTGAAGGTACTGCCTCTCCAAAGGGCACTAGTGCTGAATGCCCCTGAAGTTTAAACAAGTGAGCTGCCTGTTAAATACTGCTGTGTGTAGGGAGAAGAGCACATGAGACACAGTGGGTTGGTGGGGTTTCCTACCGCCCCCACTACTCTGCCTTTAACCCTATCCCTGCTCATTTCAGTGGGATGGGACATCTTTGGAATGCAGCAATGCTGCTGCTTGCTCATTTGCTGTGGACCAACATGAAGCAATGCCTCTCTTACTGGGGCTGAGCAAGCCACCTGCCTCCACAACCCTCTGTCCCAAGCTGGGAACTGGATGCCCAAAAGCATTTGTGTGCTACCCCTGAAAGCCAAGTCCTTAGCCCTCCTCACACTCCGAAGGCACAACGCAGAGACTGACTAACGTCAATGCGCCAGAATAAAGCATTTGCTCATTTTACAGTGGTCTGTTTGCCATCCCTAGATTGCAGTATAGAACGTGGCTGGGAACATGGCTAGTCCACGAGCAAACCTTCAAGAAGCTCACAATGTCATGATCCGTTCCTTTTCTATGCAGTTCTTTGAGGGAAGAAAGATTTTCAGAGACAAGGTCTTTAACACATACTCTTCTTAAAGGCTTTAGTCTAAACAAAGAAAAGCACAATTAATTACAGAAGTAGAGATACTCATGTCATAACCCTTTACTGGACACTTCAACTCCCAGCTGACCTGAAAGGTAATAAAGCTAGACCCAGACCAATATTTAAGTAACCAAAGGTCCTAATGCTCAATGGTGCCTTGAGTCCCGTACTGGACTCTCAATGCTCCTCCTGGAGCAGTCCCGTGCTGCTAGAGGCAGGGCTGCTACAAAGGGAGCTCACTGGTCTCTTCCCAGCTGACAGGGACCTTTGAGACATGAATGTCTCATGTCTCAAAGGTCCCTGTCAGCTGGGAAGAGACCAGTGTTAAGGAAAGCCTGATGCAGCTGAACTTGGCCAGACAGTTGGGAGTCAAAGATTCTCATGGCTCCAACAGTGAAATGACAGATTCCCTCTCTCCCCGTTCCAAAGTGAGAGAAAACAGAAGAAAACTAATGACAAACACATGTGAAAGGTTTAACTGGCATCATAACTGAACAGAAGAGTCTGAGCGGTGACACTATGTGCTACAAAGGAGTGGGCTCTGGGTTTGCATTTCCTACTCTTACACTCCTAAGATAGCACAGATTCTAGGGAGAAGGGCTAATTTTTGTTATGTTTGACAGTGACACCAACCCAGTGATCAGAAGTCAAATTCCAGTCAATGTTGTCCCCACTCAATATTACCTTCTGTGCCAGCCTGTTCAGAACTAGCATGCTGTCCTCTGAGGCATGCAGGTAGTGCAGCATCCCACACATACGTGGGACCTCTACCTGCAGTTTCCTCTCTGAGCAAGTCAATTTGAACCTGGTAATTTCAGGACACATAGTTGCACCAATATGCAAATCACACATCCCTCTCATGCATGCATCCCTGATGACTATTTTGTCTGTGCGTGAGTCATTGTACCAGCCCAGGCATCTCACCCAAATGGGGTCTCTTCTTAAATCACTGACATGTTATGAGGAGCAGGAAACTAGTATAAAAAAAAAACCCCAAATAGTCCTGAAGAAGTGGGCTGTGCCCACAAAAGCTCATGAAACTATCTATAATTTTTCTTGGTCTCTAAGACGCTACAGGGTCACTTGTTGTTTTGTAAGGTTTTTTTTAGCTTTTAAGGTGGTAGACTAAGACAGCTACCCCTCTAGGAAAGTTCTATGTGAATGCTTATTAATCTGCCAAAAATTACTGTAAAGTAGCTCCTGAAGACTGAAGGACAGACTAATCTTGTACCACTGACGTTAGTAGCTGACATCGGAGTGTGGCCTGGGCTCTTGACTGAGATTTTCCAAGCCACCTAAAAGCCTCAGGTGCTCACTCCTCATTAAAACTTAATGGGAAATTGGCATCCAAATCCCCTGGGCAGCCATGAAAACTCAGCTTTTGCATGTGAGATCCTACACCTCGGTGCTAAAGAGGAAAAATGGCCTGAACGTGAGGAAAAGTGATTGAAACTCAAAGCATGAGCAAGTCAGACACATAGGAGCGAAAGCTTCAGAGGGGGAGCCAAGTTGGTCTATAAGAGGAAAAACTTAAAAAAAACAACAAATGGTCTGGTAGCACTTTATAGACTAACAAAACATGTAGATGGCATCATGAGCTTTTGTGGGCACAGCCCACTTCTTCAGATGACCAGAGTCAGAGGACCAAGTCAGGCTTCTTTCCAGAGCAGGATTGAGTACAGTGCAAAAGCCAGAAGGTGGCGCTCACATACAGCATATGACTGTGGGCTCTTCCTTGCTCCTCAAACCGGTCTCCTTTGCCATTAATAGAACTCAAATTTGTTTTTAATACAGTTCTGTCCCCTTTCCTTCACAATTCACACAACTACTATCAGTTTTCACAGCTGAGGCTGCTGTCAAGGTTTGTTTGTAACACTACTGATATTGGCTTGTTACTGGAATCGAATAGCCATGTGATTTTGATGTAAATGACAAGCTTTGTTTATCCTCAAACATCTGGAAAGGTGTAGGATCTTCCACTTAGGAAGGAACAATCAGTTCCATACATACAAGATGGGAAGCGACTGTCTAGGAAGGAGCATGGCGGAAAGGGATCTAGGGGTTTGTTTGTAACACTACTGATATTGGCTTGTTACTGGAATCGAATAGCCATGTGATTTTGATGTAAATGACAAGCTTTGTTTATCCTCAAACATCTGGAAAGGTGTAGGATCTTCCACTTAGGAAGGAACAATCAGTTCCATACATACAAGATGGGAAGCGACTGTCTAGGAAGGAGCATGGCGGAAAGGGATCTAGGGGTCATAGTGGACCACAAGCTGAATATGAGTCAGCAGTGTGATGCTGTTGCAAAAAAAGCAAACATGATTCTGGGATGCATTAACAGGTGTGTTGGGAGCAAGACACGAGAAGTCATTTTCCGCTCTATTCTGCGCTGATTAGGCCTTAATTGGAGTATTGTGTCCAGTTCTGGGCACCTCATTTCAAGAAAGATGTGGAGAAATTGGAGAGGGTCCAGAGAAGAGCAACGAGAATGATGAAAGGTCTAGAGCCGTGGTCCCCAACACGGTGCCCGCTGGGCCCTTTACGTGCGCCCGCGGAGCAATCTGGGCTGGCCCCGCCCCCGGGCATGTGGCAGGTGCCAGCCCCGGTCGCATGGCTGGCCCCGGCCCTGGGTGCGCCATGCGTGCCGGTGCTGACCCTGCCCCCTGCCCCCGGGGGCGCCCCGCGTGCCCTT